AATAAATAAGCTGTTCAAATACTCAGAAGTTCTGAATTATTAACAAAAAACACAATTTTGTCCCCCCAAATTTTTAATTATATAAGAAACGGGTGATATTTATTTTGGTAGAATGTCACAGTATAGTTATGATGTTTTCCAGATCAAAAATAAGAGAATTTGTAGGTGTTCTTAATAATTTGAATATGGTACAGGTTTATTATTGTGGAAGGAGATAAAAAACCCACCTGAATCATGCCAAGTCTTGCAGGCTGCAGGCGGCTTTTTCTCTGCAGCTATATCAGTGGTTATGTTATGAGTGTGACATTACCTTATGAAAGACTGCACTAGCACAAGAAGGAAAGAACATGTGCAAGAATGACTGAATCCTATGCCCCTTTTGCCTTATCGCATAGACTTCAACTGGGCTCTTTTGATCTTTCTAACCTCAGTAACTATCCCAGAAGTTTCACTAGCCAGTTTAACCTTTGAAATCTTTTCTTTTTCAAAAGTGATTCCAGACCTTAAATTGGCACATTTTACATTCTCAAAAATGAATTCAATTTAACCCTTCAGCCAAATGGGCATTGCTGGTATTTCCTAGGAATTTCATGAAATCTGCCTCCAACTTTCTTCAGTGGGATTCCAATTAAATGACATCTAGTCAAGTTAACTCAAAAGCTGGTAAGGCAACGAGTAGGAAAGATATTGCGCTGCCTGGGTAGGGATGGCTAGCAATTTGCCATATAAAGTATTTGATCCATGGTTTGCCCCCTTGGCCCTATCTATTTGCTGGACTTGTTTCAAAAAGTTCCCATCATAACCCTTTGAAAGTTGAAATTTAGAAGAAAAACCAATCTGAGTGATACCGTTACTGATTTCATGAGACCATGCTTTAGGCTTACTTACCATTTATTTCCAGGCAGAACAAAAGTTGTGGGTGGGCAAATCTGGTTGGCGCATGCATAGTAAATTTCATCCTGTACTTACCCATGGGCACATTTTCACTGGCAGTGATGGGCTTATCAGAAGAGGAATGGTGGACCACGCAGCTATAGCGGCCACCCTTGCCCCCTGGTTCATCTCTCCCAATGTTCAGAATACTATAGGTGGTGTAGATGTTCCCAGCCGCCATTGTCATCCCATTGTTGTACAGGGTCTCATTCAAGGACGTGCCATTTTTCTTCCATGAGATACTAATTTCCTCTGGGTAAAACCCATTCACGTCACAGATGAGAATCAAAGCCACGGCATTCTTGAGTGAGATGTCAAGGGGAGCTCGAGAAATGGCAACAGAGGGCTTCGTAGTATCTAAATGGAACCAAGAAAGAGAGATACATTTTGGTGCAAAGCTGTTAATTATAAAACCATGCATATCTCTCTCCTAACAGTCTGTAATCTAAATAATTGAAAATCAGAGAAACAGATAATCTTCAAATGTCTGCTAAATATTTCAATGGTGCAAGTTGTCTTGTGAGAGCCCTAATGTTTCCTGAATATATTCATAAATCTGTTTTTTCCATGGCTGATCACTGCCATTGTTTATCCTCTCTCTTATCAATTTTCATGCTGACCACTCCTATCTTTCACCTTTCTCATATGTATCCAGTAGAGTCGTGTGCAGAATTAATCCCTACCCATTTCTTTCGTGTCTTCCATTTCTTTGGGAGCACGGAATGGGAACCACCTCCCTGCATGGAAATCTTCTCGACATGAAAGCCTGATTTCATGTGCAGTCAAACTTGCTTCATTGCCTTGGAAAGAGAGTGCGTGTGTGTCGGGGGGTGCAGGTAAGCCCAGAGCTTGGCTGCAGGCACACTCTGAGCCTACCTGCATGCCCCGCCACAAAAGTGTGTATGGCATGGAGTGCAGGTAGGACAGAGCTTGGCTGCAGGCACACTCTGAGCCTACCTGCATACCCCGCTACAAAAGTGTGTATGGCGTGGAGTGCAGGTAGGCCCAGAGCTTGGCTGCAGGTATGTTCCGGGCCTCTGAGAGTGCATGTATGGCGGGATGCAGGCAGGCTGGGAGCACAGCTGTAGCTGAGTGCCTCTTACTCTAGAGTAGAAACTGCAGGTGCCAGGTAAGAAGAATAGAAACCTGCATATTGGGAAGGGGAGCCAGTGGGTGGGGAAGCCCTCCCCAAATAATGGTCTGATTTTTGGGACCCCAAACTGAAAACAAATACCTACCCTCCCGATTTCAGGAGGATTCCAAAAAAACATATTTGGGCTGGGACACAAAACGGCAGGGTTTATCTTGAATGCACAACCCCAGTATCCAATCCTTCAGCAACTGCATAGTGAATAGGGTGCTGCCTTGTATCTATGAATTCTCAATATTCAGGTAGCCATTCAGAGTTGGCTGGGCAGTAATATAATTGATATCAAAAAGAGTTCACATGATGTTGTCCTCAGTCTGAATGAACAAACACTATAGTCAACCCAGGTTTGTCTGAGTCAGTTCTGACTAAAATGGACAGTATGGACAGTATTTCTGCTCCAGATAATTATACTGTTTGAAAATCCTCCTCCTTATAGCTCAGCAGTTAGGTCCAGATACCTGTACTCACGTGTGTCATTTTTGATGATTACGTTTTTGACATCATTTTCATAGCAATGTCCACCTATTTCACAAGAGAAGGTGGTGCCCTTTTTCCATTGTTCCATAGATACTGGGTGGGTACTTATCACATGTTGATTTCCATTAGCTTCTGTCTTCTCCAAGGGACCTTGAGGGCTGGGTTTGCCATCTACATGCCAGCTTATTTGGATGTTTCCAAGATTGGGTCCAACCACAGAGCACATGACTCTTGCTGTCCCTTCAAGCAGCTTTCTATAGGAAGGCTTTGTGATGGAGACAATAGGTTGTCTCACTAAGCAAGCTGGGGTACAATCCAAGAGAGAGAGGGAGAGGGAGAGAGAGAGAGAGAGAATATATTAGTTTATTATATATAATATATTATTTTTAGCCCAAATAACACAAAAACCACTGGACGAATTGACACCAAATTTGGACACAAGACACCTAACAACCCAATGTATATCCTTCACTCAAAAATTGATTTTGTCATTTGGGAGTTGTAGTTGCTGGGATTTATAGTTCACCTACAATCAAAGAGCATTCTGAACCCACCAAACGATGGAATTGAACCAAACTTGGCACACAGTTCTCCCACGACCAACAGAAAATACTGGAAGGGTTTGGTGGGCAGTGTCCTTTGGTTTTGGAGTTGTAGTTCACCTACATCCAGAGATCACTGTGGACTCAAACAATGATGGATCTGGACCAAACTCTACACGAATACTCAATATGCCCAAATGTGAACACTGGTGGAGTTTGAGGAAAATAGAATCTTGACATTGGGGAGTTGTAGTTGCTGGGATTTATAGTTCACCTACAATCACAGAGCATTCTGAACCCCACCAATGATAGAAATGGGCCAAACCTCCCACACAGAACCCCATGTGGGCCACAGCAACGCGTGGCAGGGGACGGCTAGTATATAATATATTGTCTTTAGCCCAAATTCTATGCATGAGTAATGTAACTCCAAGAACTAATTGGGGTTTTGGACCACTGTTAATTCAGATTGTATTAAGGAATTAAGAATCAGTGAAATGTCTCCAGATAATGTGGTGTTCCAAGTAGTGTTGCTTTTTGCAACCCCGACTTCCATTTTTATTATGGTTCTTGGCAATCTTTGCCCTTTGTAATATGCTCACAAGTATTTATTTCCTTTTTAAAAAAACTTGCCCTGGAGGAAGTGACGAGTTAGAAACAATAGAATGCAATTATATACATCTGCTGATAGAAGCAGCAACATCAGTGAGTCAAGGAGATGGGTGAGATCTGCCCTTGCGCTATGCTGCTGAGTATGCATGCCCAGTGTGGAACACATCTCACCACGCTAAAACAGTGGATGTGGCTCTTAATGAGACATGCCACATTATCACAGGGTGTCTGTGCCCTACACCACTGGAGAAATTATACTGTCTAGCCGGAATTGCACCACCTGACATCTGCCGGGAAGTAGCAACCAATAGTGAAAGGACCAAGGCAGTGACACCTCCAACTCATCCCCTGTTTGGGTATCAGCCAGCATATCAATGACTTAAATAAAGAAATAGTTTTCTAAGATCTACAGACACTCACTGGAACACCTCAGCAAGCGAGAGTCCAAAAGTGGCAGGCTCAAACCCAGAACCTCAACCAATGGCTGATACCAAATGAGAGACTCCCCCCTGGGCACACAGAAACTGGGCGACTTGGAAGGCGCTGAACAGACTGCACTCTGGCACCCGAGATGCAGAGCCAACCTTAGGAAATGGGGCTACAAAGTGGAATCCACGACATGCGAGTGTGGAGAAGAGCAAACCACACCTGCTGCAATGCAACCTGAGCCCTGCCACATGCACAATGGAGGACCTTCTTATAGTAACACCAGAGGCACTCCAAGTGGACAGCTACTGGTCAAAGGACATTTAATAGAATGCCAAGTTTGCAAACTTTTTTTTGTTTTTCTGTTTTAAAATATAATACAACTGTTTGGTTTGCTCCTGATATGATAAATAAATAAAGGAGGTGGGTCTCCTCTCTCTGCACCCAGAACATAATGTTCTCTTCTCTTCTTCCTTCGTTCTAAATGAATGTTCTATCCAAAACTGTCCCCAGGAGGGGTTCCTTAGCCTTCTGGAGTAGGTATTAATCATTTACATAAGATGCATAAGGAAATTACTCCCACCTCAATATGTTTATCAGAGAATTACAATATTCTGTCCAGTCCATCCCTATTCTGCCATGCAGGAGGACACAATCAAAACACTCCTGACAGATGGGATCACTTTTGATAGTAAAATTAGTAGTTGTGAAGACGTGTATCCAGGCTGGGAGCAGAATTGGAAGGACAGGAAAGCTTAAAGCTCATGTGTACTCAATTCTCAGGTTCTCATCATACTCTGAATATAGAGGATGGTGACTGAAATGATCAAAGGTCTGGAAACCATGCTCTATGATGAGCAACTTAAAGAGATGGATAAGTTTTGCCAGCAGAAGAGATAATTGAGAGAAGACATGATCACCATAGTTAAACCGCTTTGAGTCCTCTAAGGGTTGAGAAAAGCGGTATATAAATACTGCAAATAAATAAATAAAATATTTGAAAGGATGTCATGAGGAAGAGGCAGCAGACTTGTTGACATTGAATTTTGGAGACTAGGACTCAATGGTGCCATAGGTTCGGATTATAGGAAAGGAGATGCCACCTGAACATTCAAAATAACTTCCTGTCCATAAGAGCTGTTTGACAGGGGAACTCACTGCCTGGGAGTATGGTGGAAGCTTCTTCTTTGGAGACTTTTGAACAGAGGTTGGATGGCTATCTTTTAGGGGTGCTTTGATTGTGTTTTTCTCCAGGCTTTTGCACTGAATGGCCCAACTCTATGGTTCTGTGATTTGGCCTGCTTCTCCTCTCCAGTATAAACCGAATATATGAACAGCTGCTGCTAGATGTTGGAAGTGTAGTCTAGTGTGGGTCTCAGATCTAGAACCTGCCAAACTTTGCTGTTCACAACCTGGACAGTTTTGAATAACCCACCCTGATCATGTCAATTGCTCATTTGTTTTTTTTCCCCAGGCACCTGTCACTCCTCATCTATCCTTATTGCTGCCAATGCTCACCCTGGCACTTGCTGGTGTTGTACATTGTCACATTCTGGCTGCCCGGTGGGCGAGTCACTTTACAGGTATATCGGTCCCCGTTCTCCCAGCTGTCTTTGCTGATATTCCGGCGGACAAAGCTGGAGAAACCATTGTCTTTATCGGCAGTCAGTTCTGCCTCCACTTTCTTTGGCTCCACTTCTCCATTTATCAACCATTCCATGCTGGCTTTTCCGGGACCGAGACTCCGAAGGAGACATACTAGCTCCAGGCTGGCCTCTGTCTCCTGTTCACCGCAGTTGGGGGTTAAGATCTGAACTTGGACTGGCTTTGGGCTTTGCCCAATGCAATCTGAGAATAAAGGGTAGGAAAAAATGCTGACAATAGGAACATCAATACATTGAACACTTTCTAATAAATACATATATGAGATACTTCAATTGCTATAATCTATACACATAATAAATGTTTATGTGATGGAGGTGTCCCCTTACACAGACAGCCTCCCACCTCCATAAACGGGCTATAGTTCCAAGTGCTGAGAAGCCTCCAAAGGCATTCCCTCAACTCAAAGGCATTCCCTCAACATTGCAGGCTATAGTGAGCACCATGAACGTGTAGTCCAAACCCTGCCAATGTCCTCCCCAAACACTATGGCCCACCACCCAAGGAATGCTTTCATTTGGGGAGAATTTCATACTACATTTGATGTGTTTCCTCCACCACAAGCATGTATCCCAGGGTTCCTTGTGTGAAATTTGCATGACCCCACCCACTGCCTCTCTTTTAACCTTTTCCTACCCTTTTCTATGACACACAGCAAACACAGAGGAATTGATCAGCAACTGAACAGACTGGACGGGTCTGACAATGGACCTGGACCAAACTTGGCACAACTGAACATACTGCAGGGATTGGTCAAAATGACCTTGATTTTGGAAGGTGTAGTTCACCTGCATCCCAAGAGCACTCAACTGATCTGACGACAGATCTGGACCACACTTGGCACACAGACCCAACATGGCCAACTGTAAACACTGGCTTGGGGGGGGGGTGACTACCCTTGGCATGTGGGAATGGTAGTTTCACCCATATCCAGACAGCACTGAACCCAGCCGATGGCAGATCTGGTCCAAACTTGGTAACATGGTCAACTGTGCATATAGACCTGGTTTGGGGAAGATTGCCCCACAATTCTGGGAATTATAGTTCACTCACATTTATGTTTTTTCTAATGGGAGCATCATAAAAATGAAATCAAAGACTGGCTTTTTCCTAATAAATAGTGTTATGAATTAAGTAAATGATATTACCGAACACCCCAAAACAAACAATGTCTTTTTAAATAACCTGGGCACCACCAGGTACCCAAGCTAGTACAGAAATAAAACAGGCACTAAAAAATATAGACAGAACCTAACAAATAAAGTACGTTTAAAAGCACTTCAACATGTCCAATTAAAACCAGCCTTTCAAGTTCTGGTTAAAAGCTGGCAGAGAGAATGTTAAGAATATGTCTGTCTGAAGCTATTCTACATATGGTTGCCACACATCTGAGCTTCAATTCAAGGCTCAGAGTACCATGTAGGGTTTCTTTGATCCCCTATAGATACTATTTTAGGTGGCTGGAAGTTACCTTCAGGTGCTGAAGCAATACTTTGTCGCTGTTTTGGAAATCTCCTCACAGTATTTTGGGAGCAAAATGTTTGCCTCACTACTCTATATTGTATCCACAGCTGAAAAAAGTGCTATGTATATGTCATATACTACATATACAGCTTCGCCTATAATTTGGCCCCCAGCAGTGTCAGATTTAAACACTGAGCACAATCCACTTTTCTTTTGCTTTAGATTTTACATGTTGCTCGAATACTTGATCACTGTCTCCCAAAGCAGTTACTCTATTCTGAACAGGAAACATAATGTTGGTGGACAGGAAAAGAGATTTAAAGATGGGCTCAAAGCCAACCTTAAAAACTCTGGCATAGACACTGAGAACTGGGAAGCCCTGGCCCTTGACTGCTCCAGCTGGAGGTCAGCTGTGACCAGCAGTGCTGCAGAATTTGAAGAGGCACGAATGGAGGGTGAAAGAGAGAAATGTGCCAAGAGGAAGGCGTGCCAAGCCAACCCTGACCAGGACCGGCTTCCATCTGGAAACCGATGTCTTCACTGCGGGAGAACATGCGGATCAAGAATAGGGCTCCACAACCACCTTCAGACCCACCACCAAGACAGCACATCTGGAAGACCATCATCCTTGAGCTACGAGGGATCGCCTAAGTAAGTAAAGTACACCTGTTTGACATTTCTCTTTGTACGTGGTGTGGTCAGTTTGTTATATGGGCACCTGGGAATCACCTTACCTTCATATTTGATGGTTACTGAGGGTCCGTTCTCTTTGGAACCAGTGGAATGCTTTACTTTGCACGTGTATGGTGTTGTTGTAAACTTAGAGACAGCAACAGACACCCTGCTGGAACGGTATGGCTTTTGTCCATTTTGGATCACAGGTGGGAAATGCGTCTTCTCATCACCATCAGGTTCCCATTCAATATCTAAAGCCTCTAAAGGAAATCCAGCAAGGAGGCAGCCAAACATTACTCTTTCTTGGGATGCCCTCATTTCAGAGTTGCAGCAGGACAGCAGAGGGAACAGAGCAGGAGCTTCATTGTCTTCTGTAGGAAAGTACAAAAGACATGCATGGTAATGGCAAAAACACAAGACAACAGAAACAAATCCTGAATAGTTTGCAATTTACACTAAATTAGTCATTCCAACTCATCGGCCTCAATACTATTAATGCAGTTTGACACCACTTTAACTGTTGTGGCTCAATACTAGGGAAGCATGGGAGTTGCATTAATTCTACAGTGTAGATGCACCCTTAGAAGACTTTGGTAAGTATTTTCCATTTTCTGCCCCCCTCCACTCAATACACATTACATAACGTCCTAGTAGATACTAGGCATGGGCAATCCATGGTTCTAAATGGGTGGCGCAGTGGGTTAAAGCCCTGTGAAGGCAGGACTGAAGACCGACAGGTCGCAGGTTCGAATCCGGGGAGAGGCGGATGAGCTCCCTCTATCAGCTCCAGCTCCTCATGCGGGACATGAGAGAAGCCTCCCACAAGGATGATAAAAACATCAACAATCATCTGGGCGTCCCCTGTGCAACGTCCTTGCAGACAGCAATTCTCTCACAACAGGATGCTCCTGACACGACACACACACACAAAAAAAGGTTCTAAAATACTTACAAAAGCAAAGGACGCTGTGCTTTGCTTCTAAAGTGTTTCTAAAGTTAGTACATTGCTTTTGAAGTGTTGCTAAAGTTATGGTGGTGAAAATTTCAGAACTCTAACAAAATTTTCAAAATGTCATTATTATTTCGTTATTGGCAATTTTTATGACAGAACCAAGTAGGACCCGCAATTATAACAAAATTTTGCAAGTTTTGTCAAAGTTCTGAAATTTTCACCACCAGAACTTTAGAAACACTTTAGAAGCAAAGCACCAGCAACCTAGTTTTGTAAGTACTTTAGAACCATTTAGAACCACAGATTGTCCATGCCTAGTAGATACACTTAGTCCTCCACATTCGCTGGGGAGCAAGAACCTGTACAAAAGTAGAAAAATTATGAATAAAAAACCCACTTTTTTTTAAACCGGGAAGACCTAGAGATATCTAGAGACACAACATATTAATCAAATCTGTGAATAATTTCATTCAATTTTACTTACATAGATTTCATTGTGGTTGAATGTTATCCTTATTTTATTCTATTTGACTTTTGTCAGCACAACTCAAAATAGGGCTCTGAGGATCTTTGCTAGTCTGTGAGCCAATGAAGAGTTTCCAAGATAGGAAAACAAGTAGAGTTCCAGACAATGTGCATCAACATGATACCAGTCCCTGACACATTATGAAGGAAAATTATGCTCTTACCCATGAGATACCATGTTTGTCAATAATGTCTTTTAAACTAACAACAATAACAATAACAATAACAACAACAACAACAACAATAATAATCATATATTGTCAAAGGCTTTTCATGGCAGGAATCACTGGGTTGTTGTAGGTTTTTTTGGGCTATATGGCCATGTTCTAGAAGCATTTTCTCCTGATGTTTTGCCTGCATCTATGGCAAGCTTCCTCAGAGGTGGTGAGGTCTATTGGAACTAGGAAAATTGGGTTTATATATCTGTGGAATGACCAGGGTGGGACAAAGAACTCTTGTCTGTTGGAGCTAGGTGTGAATGTTTCAACTGACCACCTAGATTAGCATTTGAGAAAGATTCCCCCAGGCACTTCCAAGACATTAAATGCTAATCAAGGTGGTCAGTTGAAACATTCACACCTAGCTCCAGCAGACAAAAGTCCTTTGTCCCACCCTGGTCATTCCACAGATATATAAACCCATTTTCCTACTTCCAACAGACCTCACTACCTCTGAGGATGCTTGCCATAGATGCAGGCGAAATGTCAGGAGAAAATGCCTCTAGAACATGGCCATATAGCCCGGAAAAGCCTACAACAACCCAACAATAATATAGCAGTACTGCTCTGTACTGGTGCTGAATCCTGGCAAGGATTATATCTTGGGAAGGAATATAGCACAATCAGATAGCTTGGGGAGGATTATAGCACAACGCTGGACTTGTCTTAGATCTGAAGGACCCCAAAATGATGTGTATGGTGGCACTTGGCAGTGCCCTAAGTGGCAAAATACCCCTAAAGACTCCAATTCATCTGCTCTGTTGATGATGCTGTATTAGCTTTGTGTACAGAGATCAATGCTATGAGATCTACAGATATTTTCTCTCAGTAAGTTTACCTGTGAGGCAGTTGGACACTTTGGCTCTCAAATCCTTATGTCTTCCTGAGGAGAGCTGGGCACACCATAGGTTTTGTTTCCAATGCACATGAGTTGATCTCCAGGTCTATTAAGCCATCCCATTACTCTGAATTAATTTAGGACCTTATTACACTTACTGTGGGATATGCCTTTCTAGTAGACAACCCATGGCTTTTGAGACATGATACATAAAAGATCCATCACATTTGTATTTATCTCCTTACCATATCTATTGAAATAATGCACCTTTGACTTATCACACGGCAGATGGATGACTCCTCCCAATCCATCATTTATTTCCCCAGGTTAATGTCATCCCTTTAACAAAAATATTTGTTGGCAAATCTTGCAAATAGAGCAACATAAAAACACATTTTTGTTTCTGCAGAGCGGTGAAATGCAAATTCACATCTTTCAATGGGAAACACAAGAACTGCTAAACCACTTCAAGCTATGCAAACCTCATTATTTGACAAGCCACTTTTTTCAATGGGAATCCCTTACTGCAATCTGTTCAATGACCTTTGGCCTTGCAGACCTCATGATCTGCTAATCCACTTCTTTCAGCGGAAAATCCAGAATCTGCTAAATCACTTCAAGCCACAGAAACCTCACAATCTGCTAATCCACTTCTCCCAATGGGAAACCCACAATCTGTTAACAGAGGATGAATTGCCAGTGATCCATAGATGGGTGTACCATCACACTTCAAATATCATGTCTCTGGAGAGAAAAAGAATGAGTGAAGATGATGGGAATCTTGTCTTATGAAAGATACTGCCTGCAGATCCTTTGCATAGAACTTCTTATGGGTTATTCATGCAATGGACTTTGCATCGTATGATGGAACATATAGGAACCTGTTCTGTGGCGCGCTGGGCCTGTAAATAATTGTCTTTAAATAGGACGTGTGACTTGAGCCCAGCGGGAAGCCAGGCCCCCCCGAAGAGAAGTTCTCAGAGGTTTTCCACCACAAATGGTCTTTAGATGGCTTGTGAAGTATAACAAAGTCCTTTATTAATTAACAATCAAACAGAAACTTGTCTTCAGAAAGTTAAACAAATGATTCCAGGCTTTTCTGCAACTGGTGGCTTCCTAATCTTGTCCACGAAGGACAGGCAATTGTCTTCAATAACTAATTCTTTGCTTTAAAGGAAAATCCCCTTTTTTAACTTCTCCCAGGCTGACTGTAATCTAATCCTTACTGATGTGGGCTCTGCTACCGGGTCGAACTGCGTCTCGAACGCCAAGTGGACCTACCAGTTAAGGCTAGTAGATTCTCCAGCTGGAGTTCTTTGATCTTTAGGGCTGTTTCCCTGGAAATCTTTGGAGACTCTTGTACAGCTTTTGTACAGGGGAAGCTTGCACACGTCCTATACATTAGCTTTCCTTGTTGAGACTAGCTAAAAATGGTTCTCTTCCCTTCCCAATTGCCCTGAGCAAGGGGCAGGACCAAAACTTAACGATGATGGACAGGTGACTTGCCCTACGACTGCAACCAAAGGAAGCCAACTATCTGCAGATTCCCTGAAACCTAGGACTGCAAACATACATTTAATACAAAGCAAATAAAGTTGGAGCTCCTGGTACAGCCGTACCAGCACAGAACCAGTATGCAAAGGTATTTTACTGTGTGATGAGGTCCTAAGAATGTGGTGCCCAAACCACCCGACGTTATATCCTAGCGCTTCAGCTTTCTTTCCCAATTCCTCCACCTATAGCTCATGGTTCCATTTAAGAGCTGACACCAGATGGTTCATAGACCTCTGAAAGACTTTTTTGGGGGTATATGGGGAATTATAGCAGGGAGGAAAAATTACGTTTTGATTCTGTTGAGGGAAGCAGGTTCATCAGGGAGGTCCCTCAATGGACTTAAGTCACTTCTTTTTAAAATGCTGCATGTCCCTAAGGGATAATTTATTTTTTTATTTACAACATTTCTACCCCGCCTTTCTCCAACCCGAAGGGGACTCAAGGTGGCTTTACAGCCAGGCAACCATTCCATGCAACTAAAACAAACATTTAAAATAGAATTATAAAATCCATACATTAAGACATTTAAAACACATAAAAACAATACCTTCACTGTTAGCCTTCTTATCCAAAGTCATAGTCTGAGTTGTTTCAATATTCAATTGCACAATTACATATTTATCTATTACACAAGATCTCAAAAGGCTTGATCAAAAAACCATGTTTTCATTTTCTTATGGAAGGTTGGAAGGGAAGGGGCTGATCTAATATCCCTAGGGAGGGAGTTCCACAGCTGAGGGGCCACCACTGAGAAGGCCCTGTGTGAAGAAGGTGGGAACAAGAGCAGGGTCTCCTCAGGCAATCTTAAGCTCCAAGATGGTTCATAGGGGGTGATACGTTTGGACAGGTAAGCTGGGTTGGAACCAATTAGGGCTTTATAGTCTAAAGCCAGCACTTTGAATTGAGCTCATTAGCAGATCAGCAGCCAGTGAAGCTGTACACTCCCTGTATGCTGCTCCAGTGAGCAATCTGGTTGCCACCCGTTGAACCATTTGAAGCTTCCGAACAATCTTCAAAGGCAACCGCATGTACAGTGCATTGAATACATCTATTTGGGATGTAATCAGAGCATGGACTACCATAGCCAAGTCTGACTTCTCAAGATACGGGTGCAACTGGCGCACAAGTTTTAATTCTGTGAATCCTTCCCTGACCACATAATCATGGTGCGAAAAATAGTTTTTCAGGAGATCATGTCCACTATTATTGGCCTTGTGATTAAGAAATCTATGATAAATGTTTGAGAAATTCCAAAGTTTCTAGGAATCTCATGCGAAAACTACTATTTAGATACACAAGACATTTGTTGATAAAATTTCCGCTATGATAGAAACTTTGGTAATTTCATTAACAGGCTACTATTTAAAAGCAACACCTCAAGTTCTCTTGGTAAGAATAATCATCCAATAAATGATGAGAATAACATACTAATAAAATTGCAACATCTGAAGAGAGCACCCCCACCTTAAAATGTAGGAATTTTGTTATTGGTTTGACAAATTTTACTATGTAACTGTGTTTAAATACCTGTGGCTTTGGCATTGTTCTCAATCAATGTATCTGAAAACTCACAAAAGCTCATGCTAAAATAAATTAGATGTAATGGTGCCACCAGATAACTTTTCACCCAGCTGGATTTTTAAAAAACACGATAAGAATATTTCTCTTTCTCTGATGAAGCAGCTACTTGAGATTAAATCACAATGATATGCAAAAACCATAGTAATAACAACAAATGAGAGGGAAGGCAATGTTTTAATGAATAATATATATTTATTGGAGAATAGAGATTACAAACATTATAGCTGGGGTACATACTGTAAAATAATTATTTTGATGATTGCACTTGAAGTTAAAAGTGTAAGCTCTTCTTTGTGGAGTAGACTAGGCTTAAAATATTTTGCTCAATAAACAAGACTATGGCCAATGTAACAATAGCAGCAACAATAACAACAACAGAAAAATTGCACACACAGACACACACATATATATACACAGTTATGGAGATAAATGAAGAAAATTGCACCATCGATTTAAAATGTAAACAGCTGGCTCAAATCTTATTCAGTCCAAATGGATTTTTAAGACCACAATACAAAGGAAGAGAACAATGTAATAGAATGAAAAATAAAACACAGAGGTCAAATTCTTGAGTATGAGAGTGTTGAAAGAAAGTGAAAAGGTATGGACTCTTTGTGGCAATCTACTGTTCAGTGTCAGATGACTCCTTTCATTGCTATTTCACCTGGAATTGGAGAAGAAGAAGACGAATTAATGTTGTGTGGAGATATGGCATCATTCATAGAATCATAGAGTTGGAAGAGACCTCGTGGGCCATCCAGTCCAACCCCTTTCTGCCAAAATTGAATTCAAAGCACCCCCGACAGATGGCCATCCAGCCTCTGTTTAAAAGCCTTCAAAGAAGGAGCCTCCACCACACTCTGGGGCAGAGAGTTCCAGTGCTGAACAGCTCTCACAGTCAAGAAGTTCTTCCTAATGTTCAGATGGAACTGACATTCAGCTCTCTACTCTTTTGCATCTAGATCGTCATTATGGATTAATACTTACTTCTATATAATCATAGAATGGAAGGTGGAAAGACTGAATTAGCAGAGAAGGCAATGGAGTGAAGACAGGAAAAAAATACCAAAGAGTGGACCAAGTTGGAAAGGAAGAAATCAGAGGAAGAGTGAAGACCAGTAATTGGAGGACTAGTGAAGACAACATGGAAAACATTATTTACTAAATATTGCCTGTCTTCGAAGCTTGGCCTGGACTTAGAGGCCTATAATGAAGAGACAACTGACACTGTAGTCCTTTCCTCATTTCTGAGTTCTGCTACCACATGGAACTGTTTCTCACTTAGAAAGCATGACCACAAAACCTTGGATATTGGTATCCTCCCTTCCTGGCCCACTTAACGTACCTTGATGACAGTCACGGTGGCACTGTAGAAAAGGCTCACAAGGAAGAGGATGATGAAAGTGGAAAGGACTGATGAGATGTTTTGGAATTCCTCATCCTCTTCAGTGTCCACGATCCCATCTAGGTAAGCTTTGGACAATACATTGGATTCAGTTTCTTCTGGAGTTCGGAAAGAAGCTGAAAGTTCCAATGTAGGCACATAACGCATCAGAAAAAGAAGGTAGCATGAAGAGGGTGGGGACTGGGATAGCAAGGAAAGAATGGGAAAGAAGCAGTTCAGGAAGCAACAGAATTGCATTTTTCAGACAAGCAACAAACGAGTCTTAATGCTGCCAAGTGAAATGAGAAGCTGAGAAGAGAAAAGGGAGATGAGCTGATTTAGGGAAGCCTTTGAATAGTGGTAGATGATGGCATAACTGAAGAGTGGTGTTGCCACCATCAAATGTTTTGACAATGCGATGCTGCATTGACTACAGCTGAGAGTCAAGTCTTTTAAAGAATTTAGCTGATGTTGGAAAGTCATGTTAGAAATTGGCATGGCAGAGATTGTAGAGGAAAGCTAGATCCTGTCGTTCAACCACGCACAGGGCTCAAGAATATCATAATACGTTCCTTTTGTTTCTTTCTGTGGCTTTGAAAATTCCTTTATGAAATTGTACTACCTTGCAATCTGCAAAAATTGTGAGTTATAATTTAGAGTCATGACCTTTCGTGTGATGGAAGCTTTGGAAACAGATAGTGATGGACCACACCCTTTTGTGTGAGATTGTCCAGGAAATTATTTTCCTTGGAAGGTCATTGTTTATCTTTAGTAAATATGAAGAATTTGCCATTGTAGTTATTACTTTTGAACATAGAAACAGCATCAGAAAGAACTTAAAAAAATCACAATTGCAGGACGTAGTTTGTTCCAAACTATCATTGAGAACTATAGACAAAAGAATTAAAGATATGGCCTGTTAAGGAAGAGCATTACATTCTTTTCATCATACTGACATATTATTTTGGGTATAGGTTTGTGTGTGGTGGTCTATCTTTCTCTCATTTTCTTCTTATTTTCCTTATGGAATTGTATCTTTCTTTATAGACAGATATAACCCAAATTTTGCTTCAAGATGGTCTGAAAGTTTGTAATTCATTAAGATTTGTGTAAAACAAATCACTCTAGGTAGTTTATGCAAGCCAATAAAGCTTTGGCCAAATCATGACACATCTTTCATGCTTTGGCAAAATCATGACACATTTTTTTGAAAAGATAATGATGCTTGCTAAAGTAGAAGGCAATAGGAAATGAGGAAGAGTGTATTCCAGGTGGATAGGCACAATCAAGAACGCCATGGCACTGAGTCTATGTGATCTGAGAAGTGCTGGTAATCAGAGGGTGACCTGGAGGTCTCCTATTCATGGGATTCCCAAAAGTCAAAGTCATTGTGATGGCAATTAATAATAAATAAAGCCATGAACTGCAGAAAACAGCAATGCCCACTCTACAATAATTAACCTATCCAATCAGATTTCCAGATATGGAATGGGGTATGAGTAGAAATCAAGTCACAAAGAAAGAAGTTGAGCAAAACCTATTAGGTTAAAGTTCAACAGTAATCCAGTGAATTAATCTATGACAAATCTAAAGTCCCTGAATTTTACTATCATGAAGAGACATGTAATATGTATTAAAATATTTATAAAGATCTCATAGTAAGCTACTATCAAACCAGTCTGGGATTATGAACCATCTCACTTGCTTTGCTCTGTATTTCACATAGGTAAGTGTATCTGAGGTCATAATAGCTTGTTTGGGAAGAAAGTGATAACAGAATGGATGGAAAAGGACAACAGTTGTACAACAAAGATGATTTTCTTTTGGTTAACTAATTAAACACGAATGAGGATTTGCTTAGTATTGTCATTGTTGAGCATTCTTCTCTATGTCTGGGCAACAAAGAAGACTGTATAGACAAGATATAGATGTATAATGCCTCCAAATCCATCTCCATCTGTTTAATTTGGTTCCCACGGGAGTAGAGACAATTGAAGTATATGTCTCTCCTACATTATCACTTCACACTCATGACTATTGCAAATAAATTCTTGAATAAACATTACTTCAATGATGTTTTTAGAACTGGACATTTAATCTTATAGCAGCATTAGGTCTTTTAGTTTTCCATGTGTTTTGGGGAATTACATACTTTTTGTAAAGATGTGGAAAAGTTGATCAGATCAGTTATATCAAAGGAGACTGAAATACAGCCTGAATATGTATGTGCATAAATTTGTGTGAATGGCTTCTGGAAATGAGTATTTTTTAAAAATATCTCAAGATCAGTCATATGGATTTCCCTTCCCTCAACCATCATGCTTTACCATGGACTAATAGACAAGTTCACCCTTTCACTGGGCATCTAGTTTTTTTCCAGCTTTGATTTGAACTTTAATGATGGACAAAACAATTTATTTTTTTCAAAGCTACTTTCTTCAGCATTATAGATTAACATTCCTGTACTTGAGAGAGTTGTCATCAAGATAAACCTTAATTGTGGATTGTTTTATTGCTGTCATTTGTCTTGGCTTTAGCTTGAAAAAGAAAAATCCAGTTGAGTTGGACCAACTTGTCAAGAGGTCATCCTTGTGCTAATGCAATCTATGTTATATTGTGCATACCCTCAGATATCTATTGATTTGTGTGGCTGTGCATTATGATGAAAAGAATTTTGCTCTCATCAAATCTTTCATGCACCAGTTTGCATGTGTTTCAGGTTCTCTCAGAAATATCTCATAGCAACATCCTTGACATTGGAAAAGGCATCATAGCCCACCCTTTGTGTCCATACAGAGAATGAGACATCATCTCGATCATAAAATAATTTAAGCTGCTGTTACATGGTGTTTCATGAAGCCAGGCTCTGAATGGATAAAGTGTAGTTTTTAGGTTCCTATGGTGGAATGGCTCTTAAAATTAGACAAAGATGTTGGGATCAGAAGATCCTCAAGAGAATGCAAAATGAAATGTGCCAACTAGCTTCCTAAAAAATTCTTTTCCATTCCAGGAATATAACTGTTTAGAACAAAGACCACTGCATTATTTTATTTTTATGTACCATTAAGTTGTTTCTGATTTATTGTGACTGTGAAGTGACCCTGCTGAGACGATGTGATATGCCTGAGGTCACCCAGTGGGTTTCAATGGCCGAGCAGGGATTTGAGCCCTTGTCTCCCAGAGGTGTAATCCAACACTCAAATCTCTACACCCTCACACTACTGTATGTATCATGTGTTTGGGTTGATCAGAAATGAAAGGAAAGCTGTGAAAGAAATGACCAGGCAACAGAAAGGAAGAAAGTGTGCAATAAGGAAGGCAATACTTGAAGTGGAAACTTTAACTCTGGACATTTCATGTTTTAAACATCCTTGGATGTTTAGTAGTAGACAAAGGTGATAGTAGACAAAAATGTCAATGTTGGAATTTTAGAAGAAGATGTATTTTCTTTTGAATGGGGATGTAAGGTAGGTGTCTCATTTGATGCCGATGTTACTGAAAATTGATCATAGTTTTCATATCAATATTATTCTCACAGCAAGCCAGGATTTCTTTTTTTGGGTTTGAAAAACAGACTTTATTGCAATCTATTTGTTTCCTTCTAAAAGATGTGGCTAGTGACATTTGACACATCTTTCTTCAGTATTTGCCATCACCCCAACTTTCCACTGGGGAAAAAACAACAACGACAACAATAAAGCAGGAAGAGACAAAACAAGGGAAACAGATGCTGGTGGAAATGGGGATGGGTGAAGGAATTACGGCGATGGTTAGTAGCAACTGCTGCCAGCATCGGAGAGCATTAAGGAGACGTTGACAATGCTCGGTTTACCCATGTTCTTGTCTATGGTCTTCTGTGTTGTGTTGAAAGGCAGTGTCTCATGTCCCACCACGCAAGTGTAAGTGTCTCCAGAATTCCAATCCTGCTCATTGATGTTCAGCATACTATAGGCGAAGTACCCCTCAGACTGCTTCAACTCCTGTTTGGCTTCACTGGTGAAGTAATGTTGACTGCTCACTGGCTCATCATTATGGAGCCATTTCACAAAGAAGTCAGGTGGGTTGAAATGTTTCATCAAGCAAGTAAGGGTGGCAGATTCCCGTAATGTGAGTTGATCTGATGGAGGAGGAAGGATGTAGACAGACGGGGTGTGAGGGATGCCACCTGAATGGTGAAAGGAAAATGATGAGTAGAATATCAAACACATATTCCTTATCATTATAAAATATAGGTTTTTTTAATCTGATGTAGATATGGACTACCATAATTATAGAGGCAGATTATGGGTAGTTGAACTGGTCAATGAAAAATGAGTGAGATGACAATATTGAACATATCTGAGCTTCAATGCTGAGGTTGCATAATATTCCCTAAGGGTCAGATAACATGTTGAGAATAAAAATGAATATTGCTGGGGATCTGATTTCACTTGTAAATGAATAATTTATCTTCCACAGTGGAGGATTGGGGATGGGAAAAATTTGTCTCTGGACCAGTGTGAGCTCATAAACAAGTGACCGGAAACCACAGGTTGAGTGGTGAAAACTAATGTGCTTGGTTTGGAGATAGGGAGCCTGTGTTCATACTCATTGGGGCTCAGTGGTTGGCCTTCATGACATCAACATATCTCAGTTTGGTCTACACAAAGTCTAATGCTCCAAAGCAGTTATCAAAATTTAAGTAAGAATGGAAGAGATTCTGTTGGACTCATTATTTCCTGTTGTGCTATTGTGAGAAGAACATGCTTGCCCAGGTAGTGTAACTGTCTAAATGTTTTCAGGACTGCAGTATATATGTCTTATCAGCTATTGGCGTACTGGCATAGCCATATGGAAAGAGGTTTGGAATCAAAATTCTTTTGATTCAGGAGGCATTCATTATAATGAGGTAGGGTTAAACTTACTCTGTCAACTATAGAGACATAGAGACACCAATGCTGAATCGTTTTATACAGGGATGATATAAGCAGGCACTTACTTATGGTCTTTCTCAGCTGTTTTTCCACAGGCTTGGGAAGTGCACCTGGAAAATTAACTTTGCAATTGAAAGTCTGTCCACTCCGCCATTCAGTTGCACAGACGGTGGCTGTAGCATCAATGTATTGCATGCCATTTCCCTGGTCTGTAGGTCTACCAAATTCAGTGATCAGGATTTTGTGACCCGGTTCCTGTGTCCAGGTGGCATTCAGTTCTGAAAGCTCCTGACCATAGGGTATGTTGGAGATTCTGCAGGTCAGCTTAGCTGAGCTGGTCTGGTAAATATCATCATAGGTTGGGGCAATAGTATCTACACGGATGTCATCATTACATTCGCCAACTCCTATTGAACAATTGAAGAGGTCAGAAGAAATATTCAGATTAATAATAAATTGGCAATTGAACATACTGGCTCTTCACATATTGCTGATACTTAACCTTACGGTAGTCTTCACTGCCTAATAAACTTAAAAAGTTCCTGGCTTATGGCCAACCAAATGTATTAAGAGTTAGGGCCCTTCCACACATCCCTATATTGCAGAATATCGAGGCAAAAAATCCCACATTATCTGAGTGTGGGCTCAGATAACCCAGTTCAAGGCAGATATTGTGGGATTTTCTGCCTTGATATTCTGCAATATAGGGATGTGTGGAAGGGCCCCTAATGTTTGCTAAGGACTTGCTCAATGTAATGTGTCTTATTAATTTAGAAAGTTCTCTTTCTAGCTGAACTTTATGTTCAAAAGTGGAAAGTGGGCACTTGAGAATTATGCAAGTTTCCCCATTGGAGAATCATTACAGTCTTAGCTTGTTAATATTTCAAAACCAAAAAACATCAACTGAGTTTGTTCTGGGTTTTTAAACACTAATAGTATAGTTTTTAAAATGCATAATTCTGCTTCTTTGTGTTTATTTCATTTTCGATTTAAGCAACAAATTAGCTCATGAGTCCACATTTCTTCAACATTTGTTCAAGAAATCGTATTAAGCCAGTGGTTCTCAACCCGGGGTCCCCAGATGTTTTTGGCCTACAACTCCCAGAAATCCCAGCCAGTTTACCAGCTGTTAGGATTTCTGGGAGTTGAAGGCTAAAAACATCTGGGGACCCCAGGTTGAGAACCATTGTATTAAGCCATTGTTTGTGGAATTCATTTTTTTGACACAGAAATTTGTAAAACTTCTGGTTTGTTTTTCCAATCTTTATTTCTCAAATCTATGTTGTTAAAATGTGATGGGCTGGTCCCAAAAACAATGACCCCAAATACAATGGACACATTGGATAAAATTCTGAATGATGACTGATATGCTACCCCTTATATAAATTCCATTGATTTAACAAATCTACTCCAGAAAAAACAACTGGATTTAGGCCAGTAAAACTACATTGAACAGAATAGATTTGTATTGTATCATAGATCAGAAATGAGAGAAGAAGTCTACTTTGGTACTCTGCAGGAAGCAGGATATTTCATCTCTCATTGTGATATTGCTGGAAGACCTTCTCCTTACCCACACCCTCTTGAAATAACTTGAAATGCCTTAATTTCTCTTCCACATCAAAGGAATATTTCAATTTACCTGAACAGAGGATACTCAAGCTGATATCTAAAGTGTTGTTGTACTTGGAATTTTGGACTTCACAGGAAAATTTCACGTCGGCAAGCCAGTCCTCTTTGATGACTATCAGTTTACTTTTCATGTTGTAGCAACCCTGGCTGTTGATGGTTGGTTTGGTGGTTTGGAAACCTGATTTCAGCAACTCTCCATTCCTGTACCAATTGAGAGTGGTTCGCTGTGTGTCAAGTGCGAGAGCTTCGCAGGTGATGGTGGCATTTAGGTAGGCGCTTGAGAATGCTTTAACAGGTGGTGCGCGGACAGCCATGTCAGTGGGACATCCTCCATTACAGGCTGAGGTCGAGCAGAAAGGAAAAGTGAAAGAAAGGGGAAAAATTAAGGCAGGCAGATACAACACTTCAAAGGCCAAAATGTAAATGAAGGCTCTGAAATTATATTTATGTGGAGTTTCAGATCAGTATAGAAATCTTTATTAACCAGTCCTCTAGTTTATGTAGTTTGGGTGCCTGATTTAAAATAGAGAAATGCTTTTGCATCCACGAAGCAGGACATCATTTGAACGAAGGCCCAGCAGAAGTCCCAGATTTGAGGCTGAGAATAAATGGAAGAGACTTCACTGAGCATGGGCAAAGCACAATCCTCCCTTCATAGGAAAGGCCAATTCACTCATATTTTGACCTCTAAGATAGAGGAGATACTTTCTAATAGTTTTGGGCTCAGATATCATTTCCTTTCAAAAGTTTTTTTTATAGGAAAATACTTAAGTTTGAAGTAGTAATTGTTCATTATGTTAAAATAAAATTAATCCTAGAGCTTTAGTAATTAGCTAGTTATTGTGTGGAATATAAGTATTCAATCTTGAATGGGAATGTTTTGTATAGAGGTTCAAAGTATAGTATCTAAGGCTACTACAATGGTGCTTGCTAAATGACAGCTGGCTTCTGAAATTGATCTTTCTTGTTATGGTCTGTTGGGAGTGTTTCTGGTTGAAGGAAACAAATAAATCCACTTACCACGGACTGGAATCTCGTTTTCTCCAGATGGGTTCTTAGCCTTGCAGTAGAATGCAGAAAGTGTTTTCCAGTCTGTGACGGAGACTTCAGTCTGAGAGCTTGCCATGAAGGTCCCAGAAGCATCAGCAATAGAAGGAAAACTCTTGATGTTGCTGGCATCTATGGTGGCATTTTTCTGATCCTTCCAGGTGAAATCGATGGAGAGAGGCAAGAAATCTTTGGCCAAACACCCAATTGCAATCGTTCCACCATCTCCACTCCCAGTTGGAATGAGGGGGAAAAGAACAGGGGCACTTGGGGAAGCTGAGGGAGTAGAAAAAGAAAAGGATGGAGGGCGTCTGGATGGTTTTTCCCCTCCAGAAGTGTTAATAGATTCAGCCAGGGCTTAAGAGCGGAAAAGAACAGGACCATTGCTTTGGAGGGAAAGAAAGGCATGGCTATCAAAACGAAAATATGTAGTTTTGATAGCTTAATGCTACCACTGATTACACATTTCGATGCATTATAGAATCACACAGTCATTGAATTAGAAGGGACATCAAAGACCATCTAATTCTTCACAGCGGAAGCATCCAAGAGCAATGAGTATATGAGCTTGGAACTTAAGAGCTCCAAATTAAGGAAAGTCCATCACTACATTTGTCCAACATATATTATTATCCTCATTTAAGAGAAATGTCTCCTATCTAGAGAAAGGTTCATTGTGTATTTTGTGATTTTGTATATGTGATTTTGTTTCAGTCCTATGTTCTACATTTGTGTGTAACTCTTGTGATTTGTTTTTCACTTATATGTCAAACAAATATAGGTGTTTTTCACTTATATGTTGGGAACAAATATGACACGTCTAATGAATTAGTCTAGTATTGGAGTTTGAACTATAACCTCTGAGTTGGTCAGTTTTGGAATTGAAGCTGATGTACCAACTTGGTCTTTGTCTCTTCTTTCTCAGGCTTGTTCCTCTAATGCAGGAATTATAAAACATTGGTCTGAATTACAAGATAGTAATAAGGATCTTACAGGATATTCAGATACATTACTTAAGAAAATAGATGCAATATGAGAATCTCAATGAGAAAAATTCACAGGGTCTTTGACATGAAGATCTTGTGCCATTGCTACTGACCAGTAGTCAAATTTCTGAAAGAACCCTAAGTCAAACTTTCTTAAAACATATATCGAGGAAAATATTGATTTACTCTGAAGTTAAGACCACTTGAGAAGCAACTTGGTTATGTGTTGTTTACCCAGAAATCTATCGAGTCAGAATTCATAGTGAGTATAGGGCGTTAAAAAAAGGAATTAGCAAAGAAGAGAAACATTGTGCCATTATCGTTTCTGTACAGTTTAAAGGTAGATATGATACGTTGCATAGCTATATTTTTGAAAAGACAGTTTCTCTGAACTAGCAATGTTTTCATGTGTATGAAATATATATATGAGATGTAAATATGGAGTAAACACTATTTTTTAAAGAGACGGATAGAAAAACACATTTTAGAGATGTTAGAATTGCAATGGATCACCTTTTGCCAGCCTATGGTTATCAGAGCCTAGAAACTCCTTAGCTATTTTTTTTACAGAAACAAAAGTCATTTAAAAGCTTGAAAGCTATTCTTGTTGCCCTGCATTAAGTTGCCAGTTATTTCTGACACTAAAATCACAAATATCCCCAAGGATAGAGAAATATTACTTGAGAAACTAGTTATCAGTGTTCAAGCCTTAATAGACTCAAAAGACTAAGACAGTCAACCTATACTTTGGTTTGTACTCTTAAATCCTCCTCTATAAGTAGGAGTCATCCTATTAAGTGCACTTTTAGGAACTAATTGTTCCTTTAGGACCTGATTGACAGGGCTACAACTGAACAAGGAGCCCTCCAGAGTTTCTTTCACTGAAAACTACTTTTCAGAAAGATTCTGAGCACAACCCTAACTCAGCTGAGATGGCCATAGATCTGCATATCCAGCATGCATTGTGACTCTTTCTTGACTACTCAACTAGCTATCGGGGTTTAGGAGCACCTCAAAATTATACCCAAACAGGGAATCATCTGTCTTCTCCCTTGCTTCAGAGAAGTTCTAGATCCCTCTGACTTTGCTTTTACAGTTCTAGAAAGCCTTACTATTTTCTCACTTAAGTATCTGGGCAAAATAGCAAATAGCTGAACAAGAGGATTTGACAATATTTCTTGGTTTCAGAAAAAAACTCTCTTTTGCAGCTTTACTCCAGCTATACTATCAATACATGGGAAAGGTTTAGAGGCCTCCAAGCTAAGCTTCGGATTTCAAGGAGGTGATGGGATGTTTGCTACAACCATTCTCAAAGTCAGAGCGGAGCAAGGCATGAGCCAACAAGTTCATCTGAAACCCAGAGCCTCAGCTGATTTCAGTTGTGCTTTTGTTGCTTTCCTTGACCTTTCTATGGACCTGATAAAGATTTGTGGGGCTTGTGTGCATCCATAGGTAGAGCTAGCACTGAGGCTGGCAAAAACCTGAGCTTTCCCACCATTATGGGAGGCTTGCTGACCTTAGTACTAGCTTCCATAGATATGAATAGTTTGCAGTCTCCACACCTGAGCATCGAGTTTCTGACAAGCTATGGAGGTGATAGAACTATCTCTCCCCCTACCATTGTACCCAGGAACCTTTCCCTCGCTCAAAGCATAGTTTTGGACTGACTGAGATTTCTACCTAGGCACAGCGGCTGTTCTACCTGAAACACAGGGGTGCACCCTAGCTTTGTGCTAGGTTTTAGATAATCCAGAAGGAAACCAGAGGTTTCCTCATAGTTCCCAAAGCAACCGATAAAGTAGAAGGCATGCATTTCTCCCCTAGCTGAACACTGCACTGCATCCAAGATAAAAGCTTCCCTTATAGCACCACTTGTCAAAACACCAAATGAAATAATGCAACTTTCCTCAAACTAAGCACAAATGAAATAATGCAACTTTCCTCAAACTAAGCACTAGGTTTCAACAAGATTCAGACGATCTTTACCACGGCTCTATATGCTATAGAACTAAGATTTTTTCATGCATCTCAGCACAAATTTGGGCTTCTAAGTAATCTTGGAGTTGCCTGCAGATTCCTCCACAATCCCCCAACCATTGAAGCCCCAAGCTTTGGAGACCCTCTGATGGCATGTCTGCTCTAGCTACAAGGATTCTAGTTCTAAAAAGATTAGGTGTGTAACTGATTTCACAGCATCGATTTCACAACCGATTTCACAGCTACTTTTGTTTTACCCACCATGATCGGGGATGGCTATGTAAGCACTACAGTTGATTGCCAGCCCCAACTATCACTGCTCTAGATCTAAGTGATTTCCAAGCCCTGCAGCTGAGTAGTGGGCTTCTCACAAGCTAGGAAGTTACCAGCAGCCCTCCCCTGTTGTCCCATAAAGCCTTACAGCCCTTTGGGAACCCTCCAGTATCCCTTTAGCTAAAGAGGAGTTGCCAATACTCTCTAGTGTTGGCTATTGTCGCTATAGAATACAAGAGGCTGAAAAAGGCTCACTTGCATCCCTGTTCAACACTGGGCTTTAGATACCCATAGAGATGCCTGAACCTTCTCTCCATGTTGGAGGGAAGGTTGGAGAGGCTTTGGGGCATCCGTGCTTTGTGTAAGGTAGGGGAATGCCATAGCTTCCAGATTTTAACTAGCTGGGTTACTAGCTACTCAGCTACACCTGCTATCAGTCCAAAAAAAAAGAAAAAATTCCTGGCAGGGCAGCAATGGGCTTATGACAAGCTAGGAAGTACCCAAGAAACCTTCCCTGTTGTTTCCAAAAGTGCAGCATTCTTCCAGCTAAAGTGCAGCTGGAGAGATGATCCCTGTGCTAGCTGTTATAAAACTAGAACAGGGACAGGATGGTGAGGCTCTATTGCAGTGGTTCTCAACCTGTGGGTCCCTTCAAATCCCAGAAATCCTCACAGCTGGTAAACAGGCTGGGATTTCTGGGAGATTTCTGCCTGAACCTTCTCCCCATATTTCTTAAAGCCACAATACAGCCGAGAACCCTACAGCTTTTCTCTCACTGAGCTCTGGCTTTGGAGAAGCTCCGGTTCCTTGCCATCCCCAGATGCCCTAAATCTGAATGCTTGGCAGGTCTCGAAATGAACTGGTGGGCTTTTGACAAGCTAGAAAGATGCTAGGAATCATTCTTTCTTGTTTCTAAAGCTAATGACACAGACAAGAGCCCTCAACAGCTTCCCCTAGCTGACTTTACAAAAATTCAGGGTACTCTTCCTGCCCTAGCTGTTGTGCATAAAGAACTAAAATGAGGGAATGTTGGAGAGGCTTTGGGGCATCCTTGTTTTGGGTAAGGTAGGGGAATGCCACAGTTTCCAGATATTAACTAGCTGGGTTACTGGCTACTCAGCTACACCTGCTATATCAGTCCAAAAAGTTTCCTGGCAGGACAGCAGAGTAAAAAGCTTCTGGCAAGCTAGAAAGCGCTCAAGAAGCCTTTCCTTTTGTTTCCAAAACTGCATCATTCTCCCAGCTGAACTGCAGCTGGAGATATGATCCCTGTCCTAGCTGTTGTTGTTACAGAGCAAGAACAGGGACAGATGGCGAGGCGCTATTGCTTACCGTTGCATACTTACAGGCTTTAAAAAAACTGCTAGTGCTAAGCTGAAGAAATCTCCCTGTTCATCTCACAACCACAATGCGTTGAGAAGCTCTTGCTATTGAAGTGCTCAGGACCTGGCTATAGCTAAACTAAACGTGAAAGAACTGAGGCTTATAACAGCTGAGCTGCTGGCTTTTGAGAAGCTACAAAGATGCCAGAAACCTTTCCTTGTTCCTTCTGAAACCAGCAGCTGAGCAGGGAGCCTTCCAAGCACTACAGAGGCCCTGGATGCTCTCTCTCAGCTCTAACTATTACTGCTAGGATTCAGAACAGGGTCAGCTGGTCAACCCATCTCTGCTTACCGTGGATGTTCGGGTGAGCTAAAGATATGGGCTAAGCTTGTCACCTTTTTTCCTCAAGCCTCACTTCAGCAGGGAACCCTCCAGCTTTTCCTTAGCTCAGCATAAGCTCTGAGAAGCTCACTTTGCCCAACTATGGAATAGAAGGGGTTGCGAGTCCCACAGCTGAATGGTGAGAGCTTCTGAGAAGCTAGGGAGAGGCCGGGAACCCCATGGTTTCCAAAAGCACAGCTCTGTAGTCCCCCAGCTTTTCATTAGCTGAGGCAGCTTTGGGTACTTGCTGACATCCCCCATAAATGCTGTTGCTGAGCTGTGGGATCTTGGCAAGCTGGGAAGAGGCCAGATCAACCTCCTTAGCCCTTTGCAGTG